ATATTGTATATGTGTATATGCATGTGTACATTGTATGAGTATATGTATGGAAGTATGTATGTATGTATATATGTATGTATGTATGTATGTATGCATGTATGTATGTAAGTAAGTATAATATATATATATATATATATATATGTAAGTAAGTATAATATATATATATACATATATATATATATATATGTATAGATGTATTTATGTTTGTATGTTTGTATGTATATGTTTGTATAAATAGCGGATAGGATCACAGATCAGTGTCTATTTATGTATAAGCGACCCTGTCGCGTACGCAGCGATAAATGTTCATACAGTTTTTCAGCGATTCAACTGCGTACATGTATTGTATAAATTTTCAGACAATACAATACCTATTCGTAGACATGCTTGCTTGTATAATATGTATTACTTTCATCGAGTCAGCTATGTACATAATTATACAACATAACGCCACATGCGTATATCTGTCCATACCACGAACGAGATACGTACAGATAGACGTACACACTTTCAGCTTACACACGCGTGCGATACATGCGGTTGCGTCTCGTGAACATCGCTACATTATTCCTTGATCTACACTTATATTGTGTTCTCAAATCGGTTTGCGCACTCTCACTCTGAGCCTGCTATATCACTATATATGCACCACTTTCGACTATGTATGTGTAGTGATTCGGGAGACCACATTGGTACACTTACTTCCAACTCAAGAATGCTCGCTCCTTCCCAGCCATCCGTATGTATGCGAACGTGAAGCTCTTTTCTGCACTCTTGTCACGCCCTATATATCCTGGCCCTATATAAGCTGGTTCATCTTTACACATACTCAAAACTCTCTTTAACCTATATGTGCTTTTCATCTTTACTTATGCTTGAAACTCTCTATATCCTATATGTGCTTGTTCGTCTGTACATATACTTGAAACTCCCTATATCCTATATGTGCTTGCCACTCTCACTCCCTATAACCCATATGTCCTTGCCCATCTTTACATGTACTTGAAACTCTTTGTATCTTATATGAACTTTCCCATCTTAACACATACTTGAAACTCTTTGTATCTTATATTTACCGGCCCATCTTCACACATACTCTCGCCCCTTATACCTGCTCATATTCTCACTCCTTATATATACAGACGCAACGATGATCCGATCTTTGACGACGCCCTCGCGGTGCTCTCACGCATGCGAGATGCCTTGCCTTCTCTTCCTTGGCTGCCTCGCTCCGTCACTCGGCGGATTTCAGACTACTTTGGGGACCAACGGTCTCATGAAGACGACATAGTCGAGCTACTAGATGTATCGGATGATAGTGGAGATGATATGCTGGATGATCACGATGTGTTTATGGGCGATGCTCTGGGTGTTCGGGGTAGTCGCGGGGGTGGGCATTCGGTGGACAGGCCGTTGCTAGGTTACGGCTTGGACAGTGATAGTAGTGAGGATGAGGTGGATATGATTGACGGGTGAGGGAGATGGTCTGGTTAAAGTAGGCGGTGGGTGGAAAGAAGGGTAGAGGCTTACGCCGTAGTGTGCGTGTCTGTATGAGTAGGGGACGCGGGGGGACATAGGCGGTAGGCATGGGTTGGTGGCATGAGCGGTGGTTGTTGACTCCAGCTGACAATCCGCGACTACACAGTTCGAACATCGGTAAATACTGGCTAGTTATGGTATGGACAGGTGATTTTGAGATATCGACTCACTGTATGAAGTGATGCTCAGCTCTGAGAATGAATGCGACTTGTGGGTGGAATAAGGTTGTTTGCGTATATAGCGTGTGGGTTGAATAAGATCGTTTGCGTATGTAAAGGATCTGATATGTGAGGGTGATTGTAGTACATTGAACGTGCTCTGTAACCCCCAGCACTGTGCGAGACATCCGCAACGAATATCATGCGCGGGATACGACAAATCATACAAGTCAGACAAGGGCAATGCAAGTAGCCGCACCCAGGCAAAGCACAAGACTTTCGGACAGCGTACTATACCGGTAGCGAAACATAGTCTGTGTGGGTTGAACTAATGATGGTATAAACCACAGGCTTGAAGAAGAGATGGTATAAACCATAGGTTTGAACGATGGTATAAAGCATAGGCTTGGAGAAACGATACTTCAACACATACGCGCGACAAGAGAACACTATATCACATGTGCATGAGAACACAGTACTATGGACCTGAGACGAGACGGCAGATATCTCAGATAACTTGTGTCTTTACCCCTAGAGAGCGAGGGGGACTTCGAGAGATATGCCTACCAAGTGAATACTTATGCATTGTCTGTATGTTGGCCACAGGGGAGATGTTCTGTATTGATACAGACATCCGACACTAATACTGACCCAGCAGTAGGACGAATAACATCTATATATAGAATATTGACGTGGCAAATGTTTTCAGAGAGTGAGCGTATCGAACATTCACACATTGAACCGCTAAGAGTACTAATGTCCACTAGAGACACTAAAGATATATAAAAATAACAATAAATGTAAAAGTGAAAAACTATGACTGACTTCACCCTTGTATATAGTACTGTCAAATTATTTGTTGCATACAACGCGTGCGAATAAAAGACAAGTATTCGAAGAAGGGTCTCGGTACCTGTCATCGTGGTGAGACGATACATAGCCATTGTATAGAGGGAGGTCAAAGTGAGTGAACCCCTTTTTAAAAAACCCATGTTTAACGAGAGGCTACTTGTCATTGACACGAGACAATGTATCGACTTGGATTGAGAAAGGTCAAACCAAAACATACACCGTTTTAGTAAGGTGTTGTACAATTTGCTTGCGACGCGTGTGAACAGAAGACCTCGATTTGAAGAAAAGAAGAAGAAAAAAATCTCATCGAGTTACGACAATGCAGTATCGACTTTAAACATTGCGAAAGGTCATCTCACCATACAACTTTGTAGCAGACCCTATATGGCCAATTTGCTTGTGACGCGTAAAAATAAAATACCCCTGTTCGATAAAAGGACACTTGTCATGGACGTGAAACAATATAATGACTCAGATTTTGGTAGGTCAAGGCAAATCATACAACGTTTTATCAGTAAATTCTTGTATAACTTGCGAATACGACTTGTGGGAATAAACCTCCTCTGTTTAAGACGAGAATATATGTCATAAATGTAATACCAAGATATGTCAAAACAAATAGTACAGCATATAAGCAACCCATTGTGTGACTTATTTGCACTGCCTGCTGGCCTCGGGGAAAAAAAAGGGGGGAAAAGGGGAATTAATCAAGATATCTCGCCAAGGGATCCCCAAGGCGAAACATTTCCACTCCTTGTACACGGGCAAGAAGGTGCCGGACATTGTGCCACTGAGGTATACTATAGACGTGTTGCCAAGTGTATAATATAGACATGTATAAGCTCAGTATATTATAGCCATGCGATACCTCATCACGTGTACTGTTCGATTAGATTCTCTGCTAAGGACTCTTATATCCTAATCTATCCTACACGCCCTCTCTACAGGAGTCCCTCTCGGAACCGGGGAGGCGTCCCTTCAGGGTCGTGCAAAGTTTCCCTCTGCTACTCTCGTAGAGAGGGCGTGTACTACGTACCCTCAACATTCTGTCATGTTCGCTTCAGATCTGCTCGTGACGAATATTGATACGAACGCAATCGTCCCTGTGCGCCCTCAAAAGATTGATGTTCCAATGCCAAAATATAATTGTCAGGAATGTTGTTTCTGTCACCGTAAATTAGGTCATTTGTTTTAGCAATCGGAGGGATGATGCACAATTAATTTTATTCGCTTACCAGGGTAGACTGGATAAGATTTTTTTTGTTAGTCGTTTGCATTTCCGTATTGTGTATTAACATACAGATACATGCTCTACCACTGTCTGATGTGCATGTAGTCATATAGTATTTTACCTCAAATTGACATGAAATTTTTTATCCCTATAGGAGGTCTAAAGCATATCCTTCTAGAATTGAATAATACATTTTGATACACCCTCCTTATTATAAGCCAGCATTTGAAGTAATGTGTTTCATTGAGAGTTCAGGACACATCTTTATAGTAGCATTGATCTATACATACGAGAAATAAATTCAAGTACAGAGTAAGTAAGAGTATGGATTGTGCGGATAGTACCCAAATTCAATGTAAGGTGATTTTAGTGGTAATGTAGTGTAGTATGAGGCTATAGATATACATATCTATATCCTCTAGTTTTAATTTTGTAAACCGGTAGAATTTTGAGCAGTTAAAACAAGGTAATTATTAATCCTACGCTAAGTAATATTAATTGAACACATTTTTTAGCAGATGAAGTTTGTCGATGACGGATGTTTTCTATCGCGTGCATAACTTCCTAGGATAAATCTATATAGTTTCCGCTTCATTATTTATACATTTTTATTTTATTTTACCTGTGTAATAGAAACCCAGAACTGTTACCGACTAACTTTATTGCTCCCTGTAAGCGCTACTATATATACTTAAAATTCACCGACTCGGCTAGTCTGGCCGGGGAAAAAATCACTCTGGTCAGTGCGTAGGAAAAACCTATTAACATTTTAGTTTATGTAGGGCTCTGATTGGCAATCGGATAGTTTATTCATTCCACATTGGGCTCCCATACAATGACCCAATTACATTATCAATGCTTTTGATTTTATCAATAGTGACCTACCCCGTTACGCGGTCAATACTTTTTGAATGAACTCATTCTTTTAAAGATGTACCTGAAGAAGGCGAAGCAGAGTCGAGAGTCCCCTTCACTTCCAGCCAAAAGAATAACTATGGAAGTTGAAGCCGACACAGTATATCGGGGGTAGACAGCCCAGTCCTCGGGGCGTAATATCCGCCTTTAGCGGGGATACAATCGTATGTTTGAGGGGATGTATCTTTCATCATTTGGGATTGTAGATTCGACTAGAACCCACTAAAACCCTAAACATCCCGAAGTATCGTAGATCAGGAGAGCCCCTACTTGCCCGGTTTTAGGTTTTATGATTTATGGTTTAGGGTTCTCTATATATCAGGCAAAGCCCATCGGAGTGGTTGACGAAACTATGGTCGTATTGGGTGCTCATTTGCTACTTCAAACTGTGAGCCGCTAATTGTATAAATTGGACTCAAAAATGGCATTGAAGTGCAGGTAATACTGCAAACGACTTCATAGGTTGTTTCGGTTGTGGTGAGTGCGTTCCGACTTTGGCAAAGAGGGTGTGCTGGACCTGGCTGACTAATACTCGAATGATTATATGCGAGCACCTACATATGCGTACGAGTATTTATACATACTATAGATGTATATGGTAAGGGGTTTCCCATCATACGATTTTGCAGAAATCTTCATAAGCGACATTGGTAACAATCTGGGCGTTGTGTTTTAACCTGATAGACGCACTGAAGTTGGCTGTGTCCAAGGCCTCCAGACCGCCTGTGAAATTAATGGATACACAATGAATAATAGTCAACAGCCTGTAATGAAACAATATGGCATATGACCATCATGCAGATGCAAATACCGGCACAGATAATGGTCATGCACATAAACCGTAGAGGTATTGATTGTACAGCCCACATATGCATGTCTTCCACGTTTCATAGACGAATCGCCTAAATGCGCAAACACAGAGATATCCGTTGGTACCAGCCCTCAGAACTCGTCACCCAGCATACCTATTTCGCCTTTGTATTGCCCACCTACGCACATCACAGGCCCCCCGATCTTCGGAATAACAGTCTCAAGGTGTGCCTGGTCTAGTTTCAACACATCCCCTGAGTCCAGCATCTCCACCTCCGCAATGTACGAATCAATTACGCGCACTATCTCGCCTTTGCACTTGTGGTATCTGCCGCTCGCCAGTTTCTTGTTCACAATCTGAAGCTCAAGACAGACGAAGAGAAGACATAAGATGATAAGTGGGGTGCGAGAATGGGGAATCGGGTAGCCAAGACTTTGAATGGCGTAAATCCGAGGGACACGCCACTTTGGCACACATACATACCATATGTAGATGGACATGTACACACTTTTGCATCATCAAGTATACAGTACTCAGTATTGTGTGTATAAGTCCATATGTATACATACACCATACTGACATGTGTCTCTACCTGTAGTCACCAGTCTCTTTTCAGCTTCAATGAGGTGTGCACGTACGCTACACGTTCTGACACCACAAAAAGCATCTAGAGTGCTTTGTCCGCATATTGCCCAAATAAGTACAGCCCCTTTATAACCCCTACATGATCCCTATGCTATTCTAATATATATATATATATATATAATAGTAATATAAATATAATGTATATATATATATATATATATATATATATATATATATATATATATATATAGTAGTATANANA